TCACTATAACAAGAGTTATATTCTCTAACTCTTGCTTATTTCTTCTTCTTTTGGAACTCCTATGATGTGGATGCTGTTATGTTTCATATTGTCCTACAGTTCTCTTAAGCTGTCCTCCTGTTTTTTCTTTTTGGGTTCTCTGATTGGGTGATATTTTCTACTCTGTCTTCTTCTTTTTATAATCCTCACTTGAGGACATTTTTCTTTTTCTTTTTTCAGATAGAGTGGGAGGGAGGGAGAGGAAGAGAGAGAAACATCGACATGAAAGGGACACATCGAGTGGCTGCCACCCACACAATCAACCAAGTTATGTGCCCTTAGTGGGAACTGAACCCGGGTCTCTCTGGACCGTAGGCCGACGCTCTAACTGCTGAGCCAAACTGGCCAGGGCCTACTCTGTCTTCTAATTCACTGATCTGATCGTAGGCTTTCTCTACTCTGCTGGTTATTCTTTCCAATTTGTTCTTTAAAAAAATTTTTTTTCTTTATTGATATTTGGAGAGAGAGGAAAGGGAGAGAGAGATAGAAACATTGATGAGAAAGAATATCGGTCGCCTCTTGCATGCCCTCCATAATCCAGCCGGTGTGGCTCAGTGGTTGAGCATCAACCCATGCACCAAGAGGTTGCCAGTTCGATTCCCAGGCAGGGCACATGCCCAGGTTGTGGGCCCTGTCTCCAGTGGGGGCACGCAGGAGGCAGCCCGTTGATGTTCTCTCTCATTGATGTTTCTATCTCTCTCCCTCTTCCTTCCTCTCTCTCTAAATTCAATAAAGAAAAAAAAAAAAAGTAAGTGGTTTCTACAGTGTGGATTGTTGGCTCAGTATGGGGATCCTGACCTCTGCCTTCACTGCTCAGTCTTCAGAGCCAGGACCCCTAACACTGAGAGCCAGGTCCAAATTTCAAGAGGCCGGTTTTTTTTGTTTTTTGTTTTCCCTTTATCTTTTTTCCCTTCTTGCTTGTTGGTAGTCTCTAGCTATTAATGAGCCTCTGTCTGCATTTCTCCAGCTGGGTGGTGGTAAATTCCTAAGAGAGGGGCTGTTGCTTCTCCCCAGAACTCTGGGAAAGGGCTCTTTGAGTAATATGGCTACTGTCCTATGAAGGAGTGATTCAGCATAAAACTCCTGGTATCCTCCTTCCCAGCTCTCCCCCCAGTGCCACAGACCCCCAACTTTCTTCACACAGTTCCAGTCCAGTCTGTCCTCCCTCTGCTGGAGCCCAAGGTAAGTGGCTGTAGCTGATTTGGTGCCCTGGTCCTTCAGGGAAGTGCTAGTGTTCCCAGTGCCTCTGCTCCTGTGAATTCCTCAGCCAGGTGTTATGTGGGAACCTTTCCCTGCTCTGCCACTCTGTGTTGGGGAGCTGGCTTGGGGCTTTAACCCCCAATTTCTCAGTGGGAACTGCTCACAGCTAAGACAGCCCTCAGCTGCTGTCTGTGGGCATCCAGCCAGCACTCTTGTGCCTCCACATCTACCAGGCTTGATTTGGTGTCCTCTTCCCGTCCCTGGTTATAAGGGTTCTCTCCAGCTGCTCTTCAGTTGGTTTATCCCAATGACTTGTCTTTATTTTAGTTGTAATTACAGTTTGGTCCCAGGAGATGATCTGTGAGGCTTCCATTCTCTCCACCGCCATTTTTCAGAATCTTGTCTAATTTTCATTGTGATTTACTTTTTGACTCATGAGTTACTTATTAGTGTGTATTTGGTTTCCAAGTATTGGGGAATTTTCCAATTTTTTATATAGTTATATTGACTTCTAATTTAATTCTGTTGTGGTTAGAGGACATCGTTTGTATGACCATTGTTTAATGTATTTTGGGTCACTGTTAGATGGATATACATTTATAATTGCTATATATTTCTGATATAGTGACACTTTTATCATTATAAAGCATATATTTTTGTCTATAGTGATATTTCTTAAAGTCTGTTTTATTTATTTACTTTATTTAATTTTTTTTAATCCTCACCCGAGGATATTTTTGCATTTATCTTCAGATAGAGCGGGAAGGAGAGAGGGAGGGAGAGAGAGAAATCAATGTGAGAGAGACACATCGACTGGCTGCTACCACACCACCCTATGGGGCTGGGGACAAACTGCAACCGAGGGACGTGCCCTTAGCGGGAACCGAACCCAGGACTCTCTGGCCCACGGGCTGACGCTCTAACCTCTGAGCCAAACTGGCCAGGGCTGTTTTATTTTTTATTAATTATAGTCACTCCATCTCTCTCTCTCTCTCTCTCTCTCTTTTTTGTTAATCCTTAATCAAGGATTTTTTTTTTTGTCCTCACCTGAGGACAGTTTTCCATTTTTTGTTCAGACAGATGGGAAGGGAGAGAGAGGGAGAGAGAGAAACATCAACGTGAGAGAGACACATGGAGTGGCTGCCACTTGCATGACCCAACCAGGGCCAGGGACAAACTGCAACCGAGGTATGTGCCCTTAGTGGGAACCGAACCCGGGTCTCTTGGGACCACAGGCCGACACTCTTATCACTGAGCCAAACCGGCCAGGGCTGTTTTATTTTTATTAATTATAGTCACTCCATCTCTCTCTCTCTCTCTCTCTCTCTTTTTTGTTAATTCTCAATCAAGGATATTTTTTCCAATGACTTTTAGAGAGAGTGAAAGGGAGGGAGGGAGGGAGGGAGAGAGAGAGAGAGAGAGAGAGAAAGAAATATCGATGTGAGAGATACATTGATGGGTTGCCTCCCTCATGTGCCCTGACGGGCTGGGGATTGAACCTGGAATCCAGGTACTACAACCCAGGTATGTGCCCTTGACCTGGAGTTGAACCCGTGACACCTCAGTGTGTGGGCTGATGCTCTAACCACTGAACAACAATGACCAGGGCTCCATTTCTCTTATGGTTACTGTTTGCATGGTATATCTTTTATTCTGTTGTTTTCAATATCCTTATATCCTTGAATCTTGGATTTTGCTTTGCCTGGAATATTTTATCCATTCACATTTAATGTAATTATTCATTAGGAATAATTAAACTGAACAATGAATTGGAATAGAGAACCCAAAATTAAAAAAAAAAATAGAGAACCCAGAAACAGACCTATGCATGTATGACTAAGGTGGCACTGCAAATGATGAGTGGGAGGAAGGAATATTGAATAAATAGTGTTGGGACAACTAGATAGCCATATTTTTAATAAATGAAATTGGTGCCCTACTTCAGACTTTATGCAAAAATTCAGATGGAGCCCATCCAGTGTGGCTCAGTGGACTGAGAGGTCCTGGTTCAATTCCCGGTCAGGGCACATGCCCGGATTGTGGGCTCAATCCACAGTAGGGGGCATGCAGGAGGCAGCTGATCAGTGTTTCTCTCTCACTTTGATGGTTCTATTTCTCTCTCTAAAAAAAAAAATTAATAAAGACATGTTTTAGCCCTGGCCAGTTTGGCTTAGCAGTTAGAGCATTGGCCTATGGACTGGAGAGTCCCGGGTTCGGTTTCCGCTAAGGGCATGTACCTCGGTTGCAGTTTGTCCCTGGCCTGGTTGGGGTTGTGTGGGTGGCAACCACTTGATGTGTCTCACATTGATGTTTCTCTCTCTCTCTCCCTCTCTCTCTCCCGCTCTATCTGAAGATGAATACAAAAATGTCCTCGGGTGAGGATAAAAAAAAAATACTTAAAAATTCAGATGGATTAAAGACTTAAATTTGAAAGGCCAAACTAAAACTTTAGTAGACAGTGGAAGAGAATGAGAATATCTGTGACTTTGGGGTAGGGAAGGATTTCTTAAATAAGCAAAAGGCACTAATAAATAGAAAGATTGATTAAGTTTCACAATGTTGAAAATTTTAACTTGTGTGTATCAAATATTACCATAAAGAAGGAGAAAAGACAAGTCCAGATTGGGAGAAAACACACATAGCTGCTACAGATTGATATTTAGAAAAATAAAGAAATCCAGATGAGTGAGAAAAAAGAAAATCCAATAGAAAAGTGCACAAAAGACAAAAGCATTTCACAGAAGCGGAAACATGACTTAAGGGTGTTCAGTCTCAATAAAGATCAGGAAAGTGCCTAATTTTTAGACCACAGTGAAATTCTATTTTATGCTAGTAGATATGCAGTAATTAATTTTTACCTATTCTCCTGATCCATCTCTGACATGTATACCTTAAACTTCAGTGCAGCAAATGTTTTGAAATTTTTATTACATTGTTTTCTTTTATTATCTGGTTGCCCATGTGCTTTGTTGTCATTGTTGCCTAGAATGCTCTTTCTTCTCTTAGTGCAGTGGTTTTTAAAGTGTTGTCACCAGACCAGTATCAACAATATCATCAATGTACTTGTTAGAAATGCAAATATCCTGGCCCCGCTCCAGAACTATTTTTTCAAGGATGTTTGTGTAGTGAAAACTTTGTAAGTTAGAGATAGAATTTCCTCTAGAGTAGAGTGCCGCTTTGCTTGCAGCCCATTATAAAAGGTTGGGGTTTGCTGCCCTGGCCAGTTTGGCTCAGCAGTTGGAGCGTCGGCCTGCGGTCCAGAGAGTCCTGGGTTCCGTTCCTGTTAGGGGCACATACCAAAAATAAAATAAAATAAAAAGGTTGGGGTTTGCTGTGCTCAGGATTCCTTTCCTGCAATACAGCCCCACTGTCTGTACTATTACCTGGCCTTGTACCATCACCCAGTGGGAACTGGACTTGGGGAATTGCCATAAGAAAATTATGATAATCCTATTGCTGTAAGTAAAAAACTGGCCTTTCTCTCTGACCCAGGAACCTATGTCTTTTGCTGTAGCCATGAAACTGCAAACTATTTAACCTCCAAGTAGGAGGGAGAGCTAGCTTGTAAGCACAAGTTTCACAGTTCTTGACACATAAGCTTAATATATAACAAGACAGATATTGTTTCAGTGTCAGATTTGTTCATTGCAGATTTTTTAAATGTCTCCATTACCCTCATTTTATTTCTATCTTTAATTTACTCATCTATCAAACAAATATTTTTGTGTGTTCTTTTTGTTCTTATTTTTCTCACATGTGGCACCATTAGAAGATACACTGATCCAAAGAGAAATGGCTGAAAGTGCTGAAAAAGAAAAAATAAAATGGACAACCACCATTATTATTAGCACATCTCTTAAGGTAAAGAGGCATTTGGGCCATGGCCATTGATCTTGAATTTAAACATTAAAAGTGATAGGACAGTATTTTAGAAGATCCTTAGTTTGATTATCCAAAATTGTGTGGATCAGCAATTACATAAGTTAAATGTATTTTAAAGAGTAAATTATAGCCTTAGCCAGCATAGCTCAGTGGTTAGAGCATCAGCTCATGCACCAAAGGGTCCCCGGTTCCATTCCCAGTCAAGGGCATGTACCTAGATTGTATGTTCAATCTCTAGCTCTGATCAGGGCATGTGCAGGAGGCAATCAATGTGTCTCTCTTACATATGTTTCTCGTCATACATAATGTTTCTCGTCATACCCCCACCCCCAGCTCACCCCTCCACCTTCCACTCTCTAAAAAAAAATCAATGGAAAAAATATGCTCAGGTGAGGAATAACAACAACAACAAAAGATTAAATTATAAACTTTACTGCATCTATTTTCAACACTCTACTTCTCTAAATATTTGAAGGTTGGAAATTTTCTAAAGTTTTTTTTCTGTCTAAATCTGTTCTAATAGAGATATTAAGGAATTCCAGAAACAATGACACACACTTGCACATAAATATTATTTAAAAAAATTTTGAGAGATAAACAGAAACTGATCTGTTTAGTCTTAGTGGCATTCGAAGGAGCACTCAGTTTTATTGTCATTTCCTTGATGATTACCTATCTGTGACTACTTTTCATATTTTGGTCCTCTATAGTTTAAAGTAGGAATTTCTTTTTATTTTTGAGATGTCATGAATCTGTGAATTGGTGTCATTTATCAAGTTCTTACTCGTCATCTCCTTTAATATTGCCTCTGTCCTATTCCTCTGCCCCTTCCCCTCTTAACTCTTATGACATGTGTGCTAGATTGTCTCACAATATTTTCTATGCATTTTGAGCTCTCTTACTTTTACTGTTTGTATGGGCTGCAATCTAGGTAATTTAATCAGTTCTGTCTTTCATGTCAGCACTTATCTTTTTAATCCTGTTAAATTTGTCCATTGAGAATTTTTTTTGTTTTTCTGTTTTAACTTAAAAAAATTGTCTTTATTGTTGAAAGTATTACAGATGCCACCCTTCCTCCCCTCATTGACCCCTCCTCCCCACTTCTGCCTCCCCTCCCCTGCCTTCACCACACTGTTGTCTCTGTCCATTGCTTATGCATATATATGCATATAACTTCTTTGATTTATCTCTTCCCGCCCCCCCTTCTTCCCCCTGAGGTTCGTCAGTCCGTTCCCTGCTTCCATGTCTCTGGATCTATTTTGTTCATCAGTTTAATTTGTTCATTAGATTCTACATATAAGTGAGATCATGTAATACTTGTCTTTCCCTGACTGGCTTATTTTGCTTAGCATAATACTTTCTAGGTCCCTCCAGGCTGTCTCAAATGGTAAAAGAGCCTTCTTTTTTTTTTTTTTTTTTTACAGTTGTATATAGTATTCCATTGTTTAAATGTACTACAGCTTTTTTATCCAGGCATCTACTGGTGGGCACTTGAGCTTTTTCCAGACTTTTGTCAATTATAAAATATACACAGAGAAGAGTACAAAAAATATACATGAACCATTTAATATACTTATTATAGAGAGAATACTATGTAGTTAATCACATCAACAAAAAGGACACTACTAATTCTCTTTCCCCCAGGACTTTTATTAACTATATCAGTGATTAAATATTAACTTATTAGATATTTATAACTTTTATTAATTATGTAAAATATGTATGACATTTACAATTTTTATAACCATAATTCCCACATATATTTTAATATTAGTTACACAGTTAAATGGATTAAGTGTTCACTTCTAGTTTTTTTTTATCATCCTCACCCGAGGACATTTTTCCATTTTTTGTTCAGGTAGAGTGGGAGGGAGAGAGAGGAAGGGAGAGAGAGAAACATCGATGTGAAAGGGACACATTGAGTGGTCGCCACCCGCACAACCAACCAGGGCCGGGGACAAACTGCAACCGAGGTACGTGCCCTTAGCAGGAACTGAACCCGGGTCTCTCCGGACCGCAGGCCGATGCTCTAACCGCTGAGCCAAACCGGCCAGGGCTCACTTCTAGTTTTTATGCAAAAGCTATGTCTTTCCAACACCTAAGTTTTATAATGATCTATCAGACAATAATCAGGCATAGATGAAATGTTCTTTCCCTAGAGGATCCAAAATTCTCAGACATGGCTTTCAAAAATGTCCCCCCATGGTAGAGGGTCTATTCTTTTCCTGTGTTTTATTTGGGATTATGCATATCTCTTAGTTTCATAAAATACAAAGTTTGCTTTTGTTCCTTATTCTCTTCTGGCTTTTGTATACTGTCTAAAGAAAGAAGGGGGACACCATCATTTTTATTCTAGTAGTTCCTATTTAAAATTTTTTTCTGTTTATTGATTTAGAGAAAGAGAGAGAGAAAGAAAGAAAAAGAAAAACATTAATTTGTTGTTCTACCTATTTATGCATTCATTGGTTGATTTTTGTATGTGCCCTGACTAGGGATTGAACCCGCAACCTTGGTGGTATGATGCTCTAACCAATTGAGCTCTCTGGCCAGGGCCTATTTTTTTAATATTTTAAATGGTGCTTTATATTACCATCTGTACACATGAATCTTTTAGGTTTTTGCTAATTGTTGTTTTAGAAAGTAGAATAGTTGGGTTAAATCATACTGTTTATCTGAAATTTAACTGGATGTTCTATATTTTTAATTGTTAATCTAGCAACCCAAGTCCTAAGGTGTCTATTGTATGTAAACATGAAGTTATTTCCTGTGCATCTAGAATGGTTTTGGTATAGGAGAAGTGAGAAAAGAGTCACCCAAATCATTTTTTTTTTGTTCTGTAGTTCTAATGAGGAGATCTGATTGTTTTGCTCCAGGGAGTGGTTCCGCAAGGTGCTTGGGAGTACTGATTATATAGTGTCAATTTAGTACAATTTCAGGGATTGAAATGATTTGGAGCGAGGCTGCAATACCTGTGAGAACTGTTCTACTTTTGTCAGAGGCTTTGTTCAACCTCTTATCTGTCTCTCCCTTAATTGGCAGATAGATGCCCTCAGGGAAAATATGGCCTAAATGCTGGTCTCATATATTTAAATTTCTGTTTAGATTTCGGTCTTATAATTTTTTACTATCCTGCTAGCTGTCTGATGCATTCAAGCAGATTTTAAAAATTGGCCAGCTTTGAAGCCCTTTCCCTCCCAGGAGCATACCTGTGCCTTTCCCTCCTCCCACTTCTTCCCCCACAGGCATGCATCTCCTAAACTCTATGGGACCCCACGAGACTTGCAACAAGGGCAGCAATGGGCAGCAGCAGTTGAACCTGGGCAAACCCCCCTAACCCAGTCACCAAGGCCCTCTTTTCTCTGACTTCTTAGTGAGTCAACAGCTTAGGTTAGGCTCATTTTGCCACCTTGTACCTCTCCTGTTATGCTAGGCCCTTCCTTGTTTCACTATCCCCAGCTTTAATAAACATCCTCTTAAAAAAAAATTGTCCAGCTTCCCAGTTGCCTTCAGAAGGAGGATTGGCCTAAATTACTTAGTCTGTCATCGCTGGAAACAGTATATAATTTTAAAACAGCAGAAGCAGCTCATGGGAAGTGTCATAGTTGAACTGTAGGCCAGGATCTGTTTGAATGGCACAAAGTACTCCCCTTAGGAAGGAAAGGAAGCATATATTTTATACCTAATTCCAGCCTGTGTGCTTAAAATATACATGATCTAAGGAAAAATATAAAATAAAATTAATATACCTAAGGGATTTTTAGTATTTGGAGAATAACTTGAGTTTTGACCAATCAGGAAACACTATTAACCTCATGCTTTAGTGCAGTGGTTCTCAACCTTCCTAATGCCGCGACCCTTTAATACAGTTCCTCATGTTGTGGTGACCCCCAACCATAAAATTATTTTTATTGCTACTTCATAACTGTAATTTTGCTACTGTTATGTCTTAGGCGACCCCTGTGAAAGGGTCGTTCGACCCCCAAAGGGGTCGCGTCCCACAGGTTGAGAACTGCTGTTTTAGTGTCTTGGGTATTATGATCTAATTATTTGGTGGAATCAGAATGAAATGAGTTTTGAAATGATTAGTATTTAAATCAAAAGTGTGGTTGCTGTTTTCATATATGTTTTCTGACTCAGCTAAGGCTTGAGACATTTGAAAAGTATACTAAAAGTAACTTTAAAGTAAACAGATGAATTTGAGAATTGGTTGTCTTTGTTGTATTCTGTGCCTGGCATGTCATGGTTCTGTCAACCATCTAAGAAACACATTCCTGTTATACATTAATACGTGTCAGAATCTATCTCTAAGTTATTATAACGTTTGCATTTACTCTAGTTTTTGTTTAGTTTTTTACTTATGTCCTTAATTTCTGTCCCTAAATAACATAACTGTAGTACACAACTTATTTCCAAGCCTGCAATGATTGTGTTTGAGCTGAACTAAATATTTTTGTTCTTTGTGTGTGTGTGTTTCTCCATAGAGAGAACATTTAGTGTGTCTTGTAATGATCAGATCTTTAAGTGGTATAATTATAAAAGAAGCTGTTAAACTTATTTTAATGTATTAGCTTTAATAAAAAAACTAAGCATGTCTTGTTTTAATGAAAATTTTTTTTAAGAGTTGTGAAGTTGCAACTGCCCTAGAAAATCGAAGCCACAAGGTTCGGTATTCAGCTTCAGTGGAAAATGGATCAATTATATTTTCTTGTACTGGTACAGTATATTTGCTAATTGCCTTGATTTAAGTTTCTTATAAAATATTTGAGTATAAGTTCTAATAATTTAGTAATTCATTAACCAAGTAATAAACTTAAGGTGTTATCTTTTGGGAGTGGTAAATGTGTAAGACTTGGTTACTGCTGCAAAAACAGTACATATAGCCAATTACAACATACATCCCTTTTTAAGGTTACAACTGTTGAACTAAAGCTGAACCAGTGGAGTCTGGTAGAGGATGGTAAAAACTACTTGCTTTGGAACTAAGATGAAAATAGAACAAAGCCACTTCCCCAATAATCAATACTTGTATTAATGTATTACCCATATTGACAAAGAAGCCAACATCACAATACTGGTCAAAATCCATACACAAAATCAATATGAGAGTATTTTCCATGATTTTGTATGAGTCTGCTGAATATAATATAAACAAATACTAACTAAAAGAACCAAATGGGGACATACAAATCATACTACTGTATAACTGTGAGTCATGGGCAAAGTATGGAAGGAATTAGATTAGGATATGAGAAGGCTGGGGACATGGGAAGGGGGCAGTTTCACTTGTGCTTGGGGAATGAGGTGGCGGTGATTTTATTAGGGTTGCAAATAGACCTGTACTCTAAACACAGAGGTTTTTGAAGACAGGCACTTTCAAAAGCTCCCCAGGCTGAAAGTCAGTCCAACCTTAAACTCATCATTCCTGGTTGAATAGAGTACTCTAGGGAGAAGTAAAATATTTTTGGTGAATACCCACTATGTGCTTTAATCACTTTACTTACATTATCTAATCTTTGATCCTTTCAACAAACCTACTGAAGAATTACTACTCCAGTTTTACAGATGAGGCAATTTAGTTCAGAGAGGTTATATAAATTGTACAAGTTCCTCAATTAGTATAATCACAGTTTCTTTACGTCTTTTAAAAAACTAATTCCATCATCTTTTAAAGAGCTAATTAGATCACGTTTTTCTTCTGACCATTGTTATAGGCCTGATAACTGTTTCAGAGATCCTAGTTATCTGCTTATAGAGCATATTAATTTATATAATAGTTTATGTTCTAGTACAAAGGTTTCTCCAAGAAAAAATTGGAGGCTTGCTTGACTGCCTTTCTTTAGTTAATATCCAGCTTTTAAAAATCATTATAACATGGGAAGTTAACTTGTATGTAAAATAAGGCATTACCCTCACTGTACCTTCTTCTGAAAAAGGCTATTGACCAAAATCTTTTTCCCTTAAATATTTAAAGATATCCTTTCATACAAAACACTTCAAAGAACTTAAATTATACTGTTGTGTAACAATTTTGTTATAGTAATTTCTAGTCCTTGTGGGTTTAGGGCCTGGACACTTATAGCTATGTTATACTTACAGCTATTTTTATTGATTTTACTGAGTTTATAAAAGTAGTTCATTTTCATGATGAAGTGATGTTTTATATTACATTCATTTTCTAGGAGTTGCATTTTTACTGATGGATGCTAAAGAATGCTTTATGTCAGCTGAAGAAATCTTTTTAGCCAGAATTGAGAATTTTATTAACATTCACCAAAATAGTTTCTTGGTTCTATCTGCTGCCCTCCATGGGCTCAAGGAATGGAAACTGATGTTCAGGATTCAGCAGAGGTATGGAAGAGAAGTAGATTTGTTTTTCTTAAATTATATTGTGTTTACTTCAGTTATTTATTCTTTTAGGCAGATTAGTTGTTTTTCCAAGAGATAAACTTTATAATGCTAACCTGTCATATTTAGTAAAATGCAGGCCAAATGGTTATTCTATGAATTAGGGTGACAAGTTTCAAAGTTCATGCTAGTTTCTGGGATTCTCCTGCAAACCAAAAGTGAATACTTCATATTCATTTAAGTTCTGACTACAAAGCCATATCAATTCCTCTGTGGAATAAGGCAGGGCATGAATGAATAAACAAAAGACAAGCAATAAGAGGTTTGCCTCTTTTCCATAACAAATATTAACAAAAGTCATATGAACTGTTTAACTTATGAATTGTTTTCTAGATTCCTGGGTAGTAACTTACGGATACTTCCAGTACACAACACAGTAAATGCTATTGATCTTATGTGCACTATTGCTAAGGTGAGTTAACCTAAGAAAAATGACACATACATGCATATACTTTGTTCTTGACTTCAAAATGCACACACTCTTGAGCACGACTGACAATTCTTCAGCTCTCCTTAGAGAAGTTGCTATTTCAGCATGCTAACCTTTCCCAAACCTGAACTCAGCCTCTTAAGTCTTCTCAATTTATTTCCGGTAGCCACCACCAGAATGATTCATTTGGGGCCAAAAGAGCATTTGGCCATGTACACTCTGTGTTCGTCATATTGGTTACTTAAATCTTCCTTCAGATTCTAAAGTATAAATACTGATCAGGTTGTAGTCATCAGTTGTCACAGTGCTAACATATTATTTCATAGAATGCTCTCCACCAGTTGTCTATTCTTTTGTTGTTGTTAATCCTCACCCAAAGGATATTTTTCCATTGATTTTTAGATCAACTGGAAGGGAGGGGGGGGGGGGGAGGTGGGAGAGAGAAGCATTGATGTGAGAGACACATTCATTGGCTGTCCCCCTACACAACCCCGATAGGGGCCTGGGACTCAAACCTGCAACCCATGCCCAGGAATTGAACCCGAGATTCTTTGTTCCTTGGGCTGACGCTCTAACTGCTGACCCCAACCGGCCAGAGCATCTGTTCTTTTCATGTTTATCCTCCTGTGTGAAGTGTGTCCCCAACTTTCCTAGGCAGTTAGGTGTTCCTTACTCTTAAACTTGGACTAGATATCCATTAAAGTAATTCTTACAGTATTTTACTTTTGGGCTTGCATGTTTGAAATTCTTTAAAGACAGATCAGGTTATGTATTATCTAATGACTGTATTTAGTACACAGAAATTGATCAATACTTGAATCGAAAGTTAAGTATTTTTTAATGTAACCCTGTAAAAAGATCTTATTTCTGTAAATAATGTTGCATATTTTTATGTTTTTCCAGATCACCTCCAAACCATATATAGATAGCATCTGCTACAGAATGATAACAACTAAAGCTTACATCATTGAGCAAAGTCCTATTTGGAAAACACTTCAAAAGATAAATCTCAGTGACTCATTTAACCCAAGTTAGAGTATCAATTATAAATGTTCTTTCAGAAGAATATTAAAATCTTTAGACTGGTTGAATTATAATGTTCAAATATATATTTAAAGATTTTAAAAACTTAAAATAATACAATATATACAATTAAAAGTGGTTTTATTTTCAGGAGTTTTGTTGAATAATTCCTTTAATAATGTTTAGAAAAAATTGGAGTGATATCCAATTTAACACTAGGAGTTCTAAAATGTAACACAGCATCTAACTGGAATATAAAGTGCATCTGTATTTTTATAAACTCATTACAACTATATGAATGAAGACAATTCAACTACATCTTATGAAATTATAATACAAAATTACTCATTTGTATTGAATTTTAACAGTATTTATTATATATGGACTTTATCATGGAGATCATCATTTTAAAACCAAAGAATACTACTCATCCATAATGTGTCATTATAAACACAGATGAGAAAAGCTACATTTATGTTTTCTATTAGCGTTTTACAGAAAAATTTTTGTGAAGGTATTAAATCATAATGGAGAATTTTACTATTCTTATTTAGGAGATGGAACTTTTACTTTATCCCAGTATTTTCTTCAGAGGTAGACTTTGTTTTTATTTCAATGAGTTCTTCTACTCGAGCCAGAACACTTTCAATCAAATCAAATGTGAAAAGTGCTGAATGTAGGACCTGCAATGGCAAGAAAATTCAGAGTTATTAAGTCTATATTTAAAACAAAACAAAGTATCCAGGCCAGTGTGGCTCAGTGGTTAGGTGTCAAACTATGCATCAAGAGGATGTTGGTTCAATTCTGTTGGTCAGAGCACATGCCCAGGTTGTGGGCCCGATCCCCGTTGGGGGGCGTGCAGGAAGCTAATTAATGTCCTCTCATCGATGTTTCTATCTCTCTCTCTCCCTCTTTCTCTAAAATCAATAAAGAAAAATAAATACAAAGTAAAAAAAGAATTCAGGTGGATGTAGCTTAGAAAAATGTCATATCTACCTTAAGCTGCATTTCAGGAGGCATATTAGGGATCTCTTCTCCACCTACAGTTACAGAACAAAACTCTTTAGACTTCTGGACCTCTGTAAGAGAAAAGAAAAAAGCACGTGTCATATTTAAACATTAAAAAAAACTCAGATTTCAATAAATTTATAAGCTATTTTCATCATTCCCCTACTTAAAAATATGTCCATTATTTGTATTTTAAATTAAGTCTTAGTATTTAATAGCTCAGGGTATGCTTAAATCAAGCTATTAGCAAATAAAATTATCAAAATTCACCCTGGCCAGTTTGGCTCAGTGGTTGGAGGATCTGCACGCAGACCAAAGAGTTGCGGGTTTGATTCCAGCCAAGGGCACGTATCTCAGTTGTGATTCATCCTTGGTCCTGGTTGGGGTCGTGCAGGAGGCAGCCAACTGATGTGTCTCCCTCACATTGATGTTTCTCTCTCCCTCCCTCTCACTCTATCGGAAGATAAATGGAAAAATAACCTTGAGTAAGGATTTAAAAAACAGTAATAAAAAAATCAAAATTCTGCCCTGGCCAGTTTGGCTCAGCAGTTAGAGCGTCAGCCTATGGTCCAGAGAGACCTGGGTTCGGTTCTAAGGGCACGTATCTCGGTTGCAGTTTATCCCCAGTCCTGGTTGGGTCATGCGGGTGGCAGCCACTTGATGTGTACCTTTCATGTCGATGTTTCGCTCTCTCTCTCTCCCCCACTCCCACTCTATCTGAACAAAAAAATGAAAAAAAATGTCCTCGGGTGAGGATGAAAAAAAAAATTAAATTCTGTAACATGTGAATTAATGTTCCAATGACTAGCATTATTTTGGCATGTACAGGGTGAATGAAAATTATAAACTTTTTTCTTCAGTATATAATCAGAATTATACACGTTAGACTGAAAAGGAAAAAAAAAATTTGCCCAGCCAGTGTGCCTCAGTGGATTGAGCGTCATCCCATGGACTGAGGGGTCCTGATTTGATTCCCACTCAGAGCACCTGTCTGGGTTACTGACTCGATCCTGAGTAGGGGGTATGCAGGAGGCAGCTCTCTCACATCGAGATTTTTCTCTCTCCCTCCCCCTTCCTCTCTCTTTAAAAACAATCAATAGAAACATATTTAAAAAGAAAAGTAGTACAGTAATGCCTACAGAAACATTACCATAGCTATGGAAAAGATCGCAAGATTACTGTAGAATTACTGACTTAAATCAATATCAAAGGAAATACAATGATATCCAAACAGAAATATCTGTAATACAATTAGATCCCTAATTAGGACCTAAGATTTTTAAACCACAATGTGTTTCAATTTGGTTTAGATTTTTGTTAACCCAAATTTAGTGTTAATAAGTGGCTTACAGATCTAACAATCATTTTAATCAAAAAATCGGACAAAGATTAAAAAGTTCTTTACTCTGAATATAAATAAATAGCAGCTTTAAAATTTGACAAATTTTTAGACCTAAGCAAAAATGAAATAGCGCATTACCAACCTTGGCTATTTTCTTGGCTATTTTTAATTTCTGCTTCATAATGTGCTTTTGACATATTAAGTCCTGTATGGAGTGGCTTTAAGAAATTATTCTCAATCTTTCCAAGTTCTGTCCATAATCCAGTCTGCTCAGAATTAATGAAAGAATTAGTTATTTAGTTCAACATTTAATGATAGTCTATTAATTAAACGTGTCTGAGAATTGGAGAAACAAGACTAAGACATGATCCTTGCCTTTCAAGGCAGAGTTTACTGTTTAATAATACATTCATTACTACATCTAGTTATTTTATGTGAATACCAATCAAAACAATACTTTGGTCAGTACACTTACTGCTGTGCTGTAAGTGTACTTACAAGTTTGGGCAGCTTCTGCTTTTGAGATCTGTAACTTATAAGTTTTATCCACGAGAAAATTATTTGATGATAATACACATGGTCTAAGACATTTCTCTTTCCCTATAAACATTCCCACAATGACTCTACTTTATATATCCCTTCAACTCTTGATCCTTCAATGGATACCCCTGTCACAGATGTTGTTGATGATAAATGTAGATGGAGATTTTACCAGCTTAGGACATCTTAAGTTTATTTGGTCATACATATTAGAGGTTTTTATTCTAAGAGCATTTCTTCCCATAGTACCAAAGGAGGTGAGTCATAAAGTCTTAATTTTATTTTAAAATAAAAAGAGAAAAGAAAGTTCACTGGTATTACTAAGGTTTCAGGTAGTCTTTACAAAGGAAAACAACTTAGGTAAAAAAGGGAAATTTAGGAAGTTCTGGTCAAGATGGTGGCACAGGTAAACTCAGTACTCGAATCCTACAGAACAACCATTCAGAACTTCATGAAATCTAGCTGAAGTCCTACAACTAAGGTTATAAAGAAGAAGCCACATCAAGACTGGTAGGAGGGATGGAAAGTAGAAATGGGCTGGTCCCACACCCACGTGTAGCAGATAAAAACTGGGAGGCATATCTCCACTGTGGAGGTACCCTCCTAGTAGCAAGGGGACCCACCCCCACATCAGGTCCCCAGCCCAGGGTTCCAGTGCCAGGAAGAGAAGTCCCCATAAATTTTGGCTATAAAAACCAATCGGAGACTTTAAAAAGAGAATCCTAAAGGCATCAAGAGGTAAGCAACAGGTTACCTACAAAGAAACCCCCATAAGGCTATCAGCTGACTTCTCAACAGAAACACTATAGGCCAGAAGGGAATGGCATGAGGTAATAAAGGTCATGAAAAACAAGGATCTGAATCCAAGACTACTCTACCCAGCAAGGCTGTCATTCAAAATAGAAGGTCAAATAAAGAGCTTCCCAGACAAAAAAAAAAGGCTAAGAATACATTAGCACCAAACCAGCATTGCAAGAAATGTTAAAAGGACTGCTGTAATGAGAAGAAATAGGAAGAAAAATATAACCACACTAAACAAAAAATGGCAATAAGTACATACCAATAATCACCTTAAATGTAAATGAACTGAATGCTCCGATAAAAAGACACAGAGTAGCTGACTGGATAGAAAGCATGACTTATATATATGTTGTTTACAAGAGACCCACCACAACAAAAGACTCACATAGGTTGACAGTGAAGGGATGGAAAAAAATCTTCCAAGTAAACGGAAAGGAAAAAAAAGCTGGGGTAGCAATACTCATATCTGATAAAATAGATTTCAAAATGAAGGCCATAACTAGAGACAAAGAAGGCCACTGCATAATATTGAAAGGATCTATCCAACAGGAAGATATAACTTTGGTAAACATATATGCACCCAATATAGGAGCACCAAAATATATTAAAAATCTGGAGGACTTCAAAGGAGAAATAGCAATACAATCATAGTAGGGGACTTCAACACCGCGCTGACATCACTGGATAGATCCTCTAGACAAAAAATTGGCAAGGAAATAGAGACTCTAAATGAAGCACTAGACCAAATGGATTTAATAGATATCTACAGAGACTTACACCCCAAAACTACAGAATTCACATTCTTCTCAAGTACACATGGGACATTCTCAAAGATAGACCACGTGTTAGGACACAAAGCAAGTCTCTACAAGTTCAAGAAGATTGCAATCATATCAAGCATCTTCTCAGATCACAATGGCATGAAACTAGAAATCAACTGAAACAAGAACATGGAAAGACATTGGAACACATGGAGTCTAAATAGCATGTAATTAAACAATGAATGAATTACTAAGGAGATCAAGGAAGAGATTAAAACTTCTTGGAAACCAATGAAAATGATCACACAACACACAAAATCTATGGGATGTAGTGAAAGCAGTGCTGAGAGGGAAGTTCATAGCACTAGAGGCCTACCTCAAGAAACAAGAAAAATCTCTAATAGACTACCCAATCTCACAACTTAACTAGAAAGCAAACAAAAAAGAAAACCCCAGAGCAAGTAGATGGAAGGAAATAGTAAAGATCAGAACAGAAATAAATGACATGGAGACCAAGAAAAAATTTCAAAGGATCAATGAAACAAAGAGCTGGTTATTAAAAAAGATAAACAAAATTGATGTACCCTTAGCTAGATTCACCAAAAAATACAGAGAACCCAAATACACAAAATCAGAAATGAAAGAGAAGTAACAACTGACACCACAGAAATACTAAGGATACTATGAATAATTATATGGCA